AAAGGCAAAGAACCCAGGGACGAAGTCAAGAGAGTGAATACATAGTCTCTTCCCCTTCCTCCCTCCTTCTGCCCTACCCTCTTCTTTCCCCCTTTCTTCCTCCACCTCTTTGATAAAGTGAAACAAAGTTTAAATTTAAAAACATAATTCAGTTTAACACAACCACCCTCAAAGCAAGAGTGCACCCTGCAGAGTTTCTTGAATATGAAACAGAGAGGTAGGAGGAAGGGAGAAAAGCACCTTCCACCGAGTTCATACAGAAACTAGCTTAGTTAGAATCTTCATTACCATGGTAAAAAAAAATAGTCCAGTCACCTTAAACTGTGCAGACTGGCCTTGGGTGCAACTCCTTACAGATGCCTTATTCTTGCTTCCACATCCAGCAGAGACTCAAGTACAAGTACCTCCAGCTCTAAAGGGGGTTCAGGGCATCCTCCCCAGACCCAGGAGACTTGAGACTCATTTTCAGAACATTTCCCCATCTCCCACATTGCATCTACATGAGAAGAGAAGGAAGACAGCTTATACCAGCATGTCCTAGGCTGCTTCATACACATACCATCATCAGATGTGAGAGCAAACTTTCCCATAAGTTAGACCTTATGTTCCTAAAGGTTTCAGATGTAAAATCAGCATGGCATCCTGCATACTGAATTAGCAGAATGTGCTCAAAAACCTGCTTTGTGAACTAGCAGGTGTGAGGCTTAGTAGGCTAGTACAATGGTAAAGACACACCAGCTGTGGTAGGAGGAATTCCCACATGGATCCTAAGAGTCTGACCTATACATACATACCCCATGAAATCTTTTCCCTGGAATATTGAGCAAATACATGAATATGCAGATGAGACAGAGGTTAAGGATATAATTAAGATGAGCAGTGAGCTGGTCTTGAGTTAATCGGAAAGGAGATTATCTTGAATGATCCAGACTTAGAGGAACTTCTTCTAGAGACTCTCTTGCTGATCTTAAAGAAGTAACTGTTCTCTTATGAGATCATGCATGGGAGAGGCTGTGGGGGAGTAATGCAGGGCAGGCTCTACCTGTTAAGAGGAGTGCCTGGCTGACAGATGGCAAGAAAAACAGGACCTCATTTATAAAGTTACAAGTCTGCCAACCACTGTTTTAGGCTGGAAGGGGACTTCAGGCCTCAGATGAGAGACCACAGGTCCAGCTGACAACTTATTTATGTCTTTATGGGCCTCCCAGAAGAGGACTCAGCTGATCCATGCTTAGACAGACACCACAACTGCAAAGGGGAGGTGATAAACTTCTATGTTGTAATGATTATTACACAGAAATAGAACACTAACATAGGACACTTGGTTCCTAAGCATAGATACCAGAAATACCAGAGTCTACATCAATAACAGGCTAAAAACAAAGCAAAACCAAAGAGCACAAATCATTGTGAACTTCAGGAAGCAGAGTGCCAGGCTGTTTCCCTCACACAAGCTTTACCAACAGGCTCACACATGATAAAGTACACTGCTTTTTATCGGCCTCCAATGACGTTCTCCAAACCACCGTCCAGCAAAGACGTCGGAAGAGCTGTGCTGGCTTCTGTCCCACCTTACTGTGCCCTTTGCCCAGCACTAGGTGCACTGTGTTTCTTCCTGCACTTCTAACATGAAGAAAATAAAATAATAACAGTAACAATAAAACCCACATTGAAAATTGCCTCCATAAAGAAAGAATTTCCACATTAATAAATTTCTTTAGAACTTTTGATCAGGCTTTATAAGACCACATAAAATATATACAAATGTTAATGAGTATCACCTTTGTTTTGAAGATGTTAGGCACCACCTCATTGATGGGGTACATCAGGTCACAATTTGTCTTAGTAACCACAAAGGGAAAGAAGCATTCTGTCCAAATTTAGATAAGGCTGGAAAATGTAGGCTAATGCACCATAATGCTTGAAATGGACACATCTTTATATCTTCCAAAAAAGAAAAATAACCTTTCATCAAATGGTACTTAGTGACAAATATTCATACCTAAAATACTAGTTTTTTTCTAAATATGTCCTTAAATGTTTTGTTGCTACATTTTCTCTTTAGCATTTTGACAATATTAACATACTTAAAGCCAATATTGATTCAGAAAAGTTAAAATGTACTAAACACAGTTAATAAAAGTAGCTATGTAAGAATGAGCTATATATTGGGTATGATGATAGTTATATGTGCCTGTGTGATTTAAGTTAGAAGTGTTAGTCCATGTAATGAATCAAATAAATTTATTACAATTTTTTCTCTATAAATGGAGTATATGGATCCAACAACTGAAGGATTCTTGGTTTCTCTGTCTCATTGCACTCTAGTTAAACAAACTAGATGTTTCAATATGTATACTTTAGTTATAATTTTATATAAGCAATATTTACTTTCCAGTAATGTTTATAAATTACATACCTGAAAATGAAAGGAAAGAAAATTTGATTGTCAGATCAGTAGAACATCATTGAGCAATACAACTAATTTCTTTTCTGTTGCCCTGTCATACTGTAAATTTGTAGGATTATGCTGTAGATTTCTGGATGGGAATACATTTTTTTTCCACTGGAGAGACTTGTAGATGATGCCCTGAGTTCTTATAACATTTTAAATTTCAATAGTAAATCAGGAAGGATAATAAAAATCTGTGCATTCTTTAGGTTAGAATTATTAAAATTGATTAAAATAAGACTAAAACCCACATGAGAATAGCTATGAAACATATACCAGAAATGAAGTAGAAATGAACAGTCAACTCAGTATGCACAGAATAAAGTAGCAATATGAATAATTCAGTAGTTTTTAATTACAAAGGTGACACTTTTGATACTTTAAAACTTGCATATAGCCTTGTCTTTCAAAAGAAAATAAATGACTTTAATGCATGGATCAAAAGAAAGGAGAATGTTCACAGGAAAAAGTTTCAAGGCTAGCACTATTTAATAAAATTGTGTCAACAAGAAAACATGTCATAATAACATAAACTAACCCTTTAGTTGGAAAGGTGATATTCTCACAATTCTAAATTTAGTAAATTCTGTGACTGAGATTTTACTTAAATTTCAGATTATTCAAGTGATCCTGCAATAAAAAAAGATTAAGTGAAAAAATAACAATCTTTTTTGTAATGGAGTTTCTTGAGAGAAAAGGTATCCATTAAATTCCATAAACAAAATCTTTCTACTGCCAATCTCCATGTTTCTCACTAGTTGGCAATACTGTGATTTCATGCACCCTGGATCTATCCAAGAATCCTCAAGACTCTGGGAGCACAGAGCAGGCAGAGTCACTAAATAGTTTTAGATATTTTTTTTAATTGTGCTAAATGTTGACTTCTAAATATGATGAGCTTCTCAAATAAGGATTTAAATTTTTCCGCGCACGCGCACACACACACACACACACACACACACACACACACACACACACATCCATCTATCTCTCCACATGTGCACTCTTGCTCATCATGAGAGTCAGAAAAAGGCCACATCCTCACACTATGGCCTCTTTGATTAGCAAATGAAATCCAAATGTGTCTCTGCAGTGGTTCCCAGGATTCTGCTGGGATGATTTAGTATGCACCGCACTCTATTCAACCTTCAAAACATGCACTCAGGACCCATGTTTAGAGCACCTTGGCTTGAAATATTCAACTTTAAGAACTGCCATCTGCTCAGAACTGTTCTTCAGGGATCCTGGTTAGAGCAGCTAGAGACTGCCGATTTTTGCTGGTGGTGGCACTGGCCAAGGACTTGAACTTGACCTCAAATAATTTCTCTTATTGTCACCTAATAAAACACAAATCTCTAGTAGAAGTATCTGATTCATACAAACTTCCTAACACCAAGTGATATGAAAAGGGAAAAAGTGGATAACTCTAAAGGTTATTTAAAAAAAAAAAAAAAAGGCTACAAAAAAAATGAGCAAAGAGTCACATTAGCCTTGATTAGGTTGGATTTCAAAAATAAAAGCCAAACAAAATTTTTTAAAAAAGTATTTCACCCTTCTGTCATGCAAAACTTGCTCAAGTCTTCCAAAAGGTTGAAATCTTGTGTCCCACTCTAGAAGAGAATGTGGAAGTGGAAGTAAATGTTAAATTCCATACAGGCTTCAGGAGATGAGTCTTGTATAACCGACAGGAAAGGGGACAAGAGCTCACAGAAGCTGCCTACAATGAGGACATGGGTATTCTGGTGGAACTTACTGACAGCATTTGTTAGGGACAGAGCTAAAAACCAACTGCAAGATCTCCAGGCGCCAGCAGAAGGAGCCTGAAGGAGCTAGGATCTGACCGTGGTCCTGAAAGATCACAGGCTATTTCCAGAAAGACACAAAACACCATATTTGCATGAACATTTTTTCCAGTCCAACCAAAGAAGTCAGATATTCAACACTATTTATCTTCACAAAACTCTGAAACTTCCCCTGTGGTGGAGTCAGTCTTCACAACGCCCAAGTCCTCCTTCCTCAATAGTCTTTCCTCGAGTGTCGTGCTAATTTCAGCATTAAGAGGCGAGATTCTGACAAACTCCCAGTAATCAGAAAGTCTCCAGATAGCTCACACCTGACCAAGGCTGATTACTCAGGATTTCTTAAACTCGAATGAGAAGTCAGAGGAGTCTGGAAAGCCTCCAAACTCTAACCCGAGCAGCCTTGGAACTCCAGAAAAAAATAAAGTGCACAGCATCCCCCCTGCACCAAGCTCCTCAAGGCACCACACAGTACAGGTCCCACCGCGAACCCCTTGTCCATCATTCTTCAGATTTGTGTTCCAAACCTAAGCAATCAAGGGAACCATCTACAAGAATACCAAATGCTTTTATGATTTGTTTTTTTTTGGGGGGGATGTCTTGTTTTATTTTGTTTCCTTTCCTCCCCTGGCTACTCTGGCAAGAAAAGAAGGTAAATCATTGTGCGGATGGAATCAGAGAAGCCGGAGCAAAAGTCCAAGAGAAAAACCATCCTAGGGAAATTGGCAACTCAGGCAAGCCCTACTTACGTGTTCCGTCGAAACGGGTGGCGATGGTGTCCAGGAAGGTGTTCTGAGGAGCCAGTAATCCTTTCATAACCGGCATTTTTCCAGCTCGGTGTGAAATTCCCCATCAAAGTTTGTCCAGAAGGATGGTTCTGCAGGAAAGTACCAAGCTGGGAGAAGCCACCGGGAGCGTGATGACGGCAGGGGCGGGGGGCCAGGCGTGCAGAGGATGGGGCCAGGCAAGGAAGTGGGGTGGATGGCAACAGAAGGTGGTACTCCCCGGTCGCCGAGCCGTGGCCAGAGAAGTCTGCGATCAGCACTCTGAACCCGCCTCCTTCCAGGTTCCGTCCCTTCCTCCTCCTTCAGCGACACCCCCAGGGTCTCTCAGTAGACCCTGCGAATGCCCACGGTGGCCCTGGGCGCCGCGCCCTGACCTGAGCTCTAGGGTCTCGGAGGATGGCGTCCTACCTGAGAAAACTGTGGCGCTAAGCCTCGAGTACCCCAGGGACGCTGAGAAAAGGAGAAACGCTAGCCAGCCCAACTCCCGCCCCCCAGGAGCCGGGAACAAAGACCCCTTTGTTCCCGCTCGGTCCCTCTCCCTGGAGACCAGAGTCCCGTGGGTGTGGTGTCCTGGAAGGGAGGAGATAGGTCACCGCAGGTAACCCGCCTCCGCCTAGAACTTGGGAGGGGGAGGCCCCCACGGTGGTGTCCTAGGTAGCAAAGGCAGCCTGGGGCTTCTGAGGGAGGTGTCCCCCTTCCGGTGCACCTGCCATCCCCAGGTCCAAGTCAGCTGGGTGCCTACCACCCCCGGTCACCAGGGTCTCCCTAGCACTGGAAAACCGACCCAGGCTTGAGGTTTTGCGACCTCTCCTTCCTCAGCTCTAAAAGAGAATTCAGGTACCCTCCCCATGGCCAAATTCTCCGTGCTCTCCCCAACCCACACAAACTAAAAGGGAAAAAAATATCCGCTTAAATCCGCAATAGTTTCCCACTCTTCTGTGAAATATGCATAGAGTGGTTCTCGAAAAGTTTGCTGTTTTTATTGATTTACAAAATACATGGAAGTAACAGAGTTGAGCTTTCAGTGTTAAAACAGCTTCAATACGACCCCCCCCCCCCGCACCCCCAGCGTACCGGCTCTAAGCTCCACCTCCACCCAACCCCCCGCCACTGGCCTAGTGCCAGGAACTGCAGGTGTCTCAGAAAACTAAAGCGGTCTCTGCCGCTTTTCCCCGGCTCACGAGGGGACTCCCTCTCTACCTACATTATGCTAAGGAAAGCCACCCAAATCTGGGGTGCATCCCTGTGAGAGGGCAAAGACACATGCAAGCCCGGGCTCCACTGAAACCCTGACAAGGAGGAAAGGGAAAGTTACGAGCCCAGGAGATAAGAGCAAACAGAAGTCCAGGTGCTACTGCACCCGGAAAGGAAGGAGGGAAACGCGAACAGGTGTCTGAGGCACTGCAGGGACCTCTGGGTCCCCGCCTCCAGGATTCGGGCGTGGCAGCAGGTGCAAGCGGCCCCCAAACATCTGGCAAGGTCTCTTTGCTAGAATCCCCGGGGATTCTGGGGGTGATGATGGACTCTAGGGGTTTCCTCGCTGTGGTCCTGGGTTCCGTGAGGGCGGGGTGAAAGGAGGCGGCTCCTTGTTCCCGCCCCTAGTCCTCTTCTTCGTGATGCATTTCCTGCCACCGAGGATTCCCTTTGTGTTGAGATTCCAGATCCGCCCGCCACACGCGGGGGCGGGCGGGCCCGGGATTCCCGGTGAGTGGCCACCTCGTGAGGCTCTGGCTGTGTGTCCTTTTTCCTGCGGGTTACTGATGCTGGCCAGCTGTGCACCCTCCCTCCCTCCACCCCCTCCACCCTAGCAAATGCTTCTGTCTGGAGCTAGTTGTTCCTTGTAGGGAAACCCCCTACACCGCCCCCCCACACACACACACACACACACACGCACGCGCGCAGCTGAGCTCCGCTCGCTCCCTCTTGGGCGTAGCTAGGAGAGAGAGATGGGGGAGTCCCTGCTTCTGCTTCAATGGTGCCTGGCGCCCAAGAAAACCCGGGCTCCCTCTGCCCGTGGGAAGTGGCTTGACGCTCAGCATGAAAAAAAACAAAAACTGTTTCCTCTTTGATCTGGCCTCACTTACTAGAAAGAAGCCATACAGCAGCTTAATAATGGAAACCCAAAAGGCAGTTTTGATTCCTTGGCAAAAGAAGTCAGCCATGTACCGTTTAATATCTTAATCTTTTCTCCAATGCCCAGAACAAGTCAAGGCTAGTGCTAGACACAACATCTTTGTCCTAAATTCACCTTGGATCCCCGCCCCCACCACCACCAACAACAACCTATGCTTGGTCGGTGGACCACACAGCCTCTTCTTTCATTTTTTCTGACTGGATGTCTTTCTTAAGAAGATATCATTCATCACTTTGGTCTTGAGTTCCAGGATCTCTAAACTCTGCTCAAAGACTCACTGCTATTCCTGCTAAGTGGTTGTAGCCCCAGAGACCAAAGTACACCATTAGAACGTGACCACCTTGAGAGTTGAAGCACGCTGAATCCTCTTAACTGTATTTTGTCATCTTCAAATCAAAGACAGAAATGCATTCTGAGAGGCAGGTGTTTTCTTTGTCACCTGTCCTAAACCTTATCTTTTCCCTAAAGGAAATTTCCTCACTGATGGACTAAAAGAACACCAACTCATTTTATTGCAAATCCTTCTCCACAATGGATTCAGAACTTTCTTTGTGGCCTAAACAATGCAATAGCATAGCCCCATAACACAACCTAAAGCCCTTTTGGAGAGGTCATATTTATAAAGGGATCATATTTTGGACTCTACAATGTAAGACAAGGCACAAAATTCCTATAGCATTAGATATGTTAAACTGTGGAAGACCCTAGGTAAAACCGACATAGGCAAAGCTCATTGATTAAATTGCACAACAGTACCACAAAATGTCGCTGAATTCAAACACAAATCATATTTTTGCAGTATCTCGCAAGCTGAGCTTTGACCACCAAGATGACTACAGAGATACAGCTTTTGTTATTCATTGTCAAGACTCTGTAGGCTTCTTCTCAATGACACAACTGTGTGGGTCCTCTCACTGGTTCATTGAGGTGGACTTGGATAAAATGGTTTCTTTGGTCTGTTGTATGTCTCCCCAAGAAAAGTCATACAGTACTCCCTTTCCAATGATATTTCATCTGGGGCCCTAGCCCATGTGATGATGTATGGTGATATTTTATTTGTACTGAAATGTGATTTTATTTGTATGTTAATAAATAAAGTTGCCTGGGGGTCAGAGCTAATAGCAAGCCATAGCAGAAGCCGGGTAGTGGTGGCACACACCTTTAATCCTGATCACATGACAGATCTCTGTGTATTCAAGGATACAGTCAGCATGGAGACACATGCCATTAATCTCAATGCCAACCATAGAAGACCTGGAGGTCTGTATAGACAGGCAGTGACGAGGAAGTCATGTGTTTGGGTTTACAACCAATGAGAAAGCAGAACAGAAAGTCAATAAAAAAGACAGAGATACAGGAAGTAGGTCTCTTGCTGAGGGGAAGGACAGCAGCTGCAGCGAAGGGTAAGAAAGGGTTTTTAGCTCTTAGCTACTGCTCTGACTTCTTGAGCTTTTAACTCTGCATTTGGCTCTGTGTTTCTTATTTAATAAGACTGTTACATCTACAATGATGCCATCTACATTTGTTGGGTCAGGCATCCCTTCTCAGTTAATGCTCTGGTAATACCCTCAGAGGCAAGCCAAATCCAGCCAAGTTGAAAGTAAAGATTGACCTCCACATACTCCTAATACAAAGTTATTCAAATACAATAAATATTACTGAGTGGCTGTGTTGAGTGGCTGTGTACTTAAAAAAGTGAATTTGGAGTCAATCAGCTTATAATTTCCAATGGCTTATTTCAAAAAGTTATAAACAATAATTGACTTGCATAAAGGTCCACGACATGGACAGTGAACAGCTCTCCTACCAAATTCAAATTCTGAAAAATGTATAGTAACTATATGTCATTCCATATTGAAAATAAATTTTAGGCCACACATGTGCAACAAGAGAGAGTTAAAGATCTGCTACAGATGTCTAACATGGTCACGGCAAATCCTTGGGTTTTAGGTCACTGTCCGAGACATGACTTCCATCACTGGGCAGCCAGTTCCTAAAAGCCACATTTGTACTCATCTGAGTGTTTCAAAGGAAAAATGAGGAGGCACTTACCGCCTATGATCCACTGTTGTGTCCTGCTCTGTACTTTTTGCATAGTCAGGGTGGTAGGATTATGTTGCCGTAGTAAATAAAGACCCATTCAAACTTAATCAACTAACTAGTGCAATCTGGTGTCCAGGGTACCCTCATTGCACATGCTTCAACAGAAGCCTCCATTGCTGTCATTAAACAGAAAAACTGTCTGGAACGTCTGCTCTTCTGATTCTACCAAGCAATTACATGTGTCACTTATTTCAAAGGCTTATTGATGAAGAACCCTGAAGGACAGAGAAAGGGAGAAGGGGAGAAAGGGAAGAGGGGGTAATAAGCATGTACTCGGGTTGCAGCCAACCTCGTCTGTTTGAAAGCAACCATAGTACCACTGTGATAGTTAATTTTGGTAGTCTACTTGGTTAGCTTAAGAAATGCCACTAGTGAGTCATGAGTGTGAGAGTGTGCGTCTGTGTGTGTGTGTGTGTGTGTGTGTGTGTGTGTGTGTGTGTGTGTGTGTCTGTGTCTGTGTCTGTATCTGTGTCTGTGTGTGTTTTAGTGCAGTTCTAGATTAACCAAGTGTGGGGAAACTCATCCTGAATTCGAATGTCACCATCTTGATGGGCTGGGGTCTAGGACTGAACAAAAATGGAAAAAGGAGCAAGCTGCCTGAACATCAACATTGACCCAGGCATCTGCTGCCAGAACAACCACCTACTCATAATTCTGTGATGTCAGTGAGCTAACTGTGAAAAGCAAACATAGTTGCTAAATTACTGTAAGGACTCAATCAATTTAGAAGACTATTACTTTGCTTTATTTGTACATTTTAAGAAGTTAGCTAATGAATCTGAGGTCATTGTTGAGTAGTGGATTGCTGAATGTACAGGAACTTATCCAATACCATCCTCTATTCTTGAACAATTTTCGTAAGGGTTCAGTCACAGGATCAAGTCACATTCCATGCCTTACTCCTGTTCCACAATGCTGAGCCTACTTAAGGAGTTAAAGTCATTAAGCCCCATCACTTACACATTAAGTCTCATCATAATGGCCTTGTGAAGGCATCCTGTCATAAGAAGCTCAATAGTATGCCCCTTGTACCTCTTCAGTTTTTAACCCTCTACTCTGGTCTCTCATATGGAAGTTGGAGCCATGGGAATGGTTTGTGTGTATAAGAGGGGAATATGAATGGAGTATGATAATAATTAAGTATGAAAATATCATAATGAAATTCATTAATTGGATCCTGACTTATAAAGCCAATTTTAAAAAGGTGAAATTTTAAATTGTCTAGAAATCCACACTTGTGGGAATTCTATGGTAATTACCCTTAATTTCCTAATCTCTCAGAGTTTACAACTCTACTCACCC